GAGCCTGATGTCAGCTGTGAGTTTTTCAAATATGCACCTTAATCAGTTTGTGGTGTCTCCCTGCTTTCCCTAATTTGCTGAGTGCCTTTCTTTTTTTAATCATAAGAGTATATTAAATTTTGTTACATATGCTTTCTTCATCTGTTAAGATGATCATGTGGGTTTTGTCCTTTATTATACAGTACACTGCATTGGTGATACTCATACGCTATTCTTTTATCCCTGGGACAAATCACATTTGGCTGTGACATACAACCTTTTCATAGATTGCTGGATTTGGTTTGCTAATATTTTGTTGAGGAATGTTTGCATTTATATCCTAAAGATATTGGTCTATGGTTACTTATTTATTCCTGTGATGTCTTTGTTTTTGCTATCAGGGAAAAACTGGCATCATAAGTGAGTTGAAAAGTGTTCCCTCCTTTTCTAGCTTTTGGAAGTGTTAGCAAAGAATTGATATTAACTTAATATTAGGTTTGGCAGAATTAACCAGCAAAGCCATTGAACCTACTGTTTTATTTGTAGAACATTTCAAAATTACTAATTTGATGTCTTTACTTCTTATAGGCCTATCCAGATATTCTGTTTCTCCTTGAGTAAGTTTTGATAGTTTGTGTTTTTCTAGAAAGTTGCCTATTTCACCAAAGTTGTGTATTTTGTAGACATACAGTTAGTTGTTCAGCTTCCTTATAAAGTTTTTAATTCTAAAGATTGGTAGTAATGTGACCTCATTTCTAGTTTTAGTAATTTGTATTTTTCTCTCTTCCCTTTGCCAGCTTAGATAAAGTTTTGTCAATTCTATCTTTTCAAGGAACCAACTTTTATGTTCATTGATTTCCTATATTGTTTTTCTAGTCTCCATTTCATTGATTTATGCTTAAATCTTTATCATTCTTTCCTTAGGCCTAGTTTGCTCTTCTTATTCCAGTTCATTAAGGTGTAATGTTAGACAATGATTTACTGAATTACATAAAATTTTACTTGAATGCTTAACTTATTTCTGATTCTATGGCAAAGTACCATAGAAAATGCACAAGTTAAATATATAAACTCCAGCACAGCTTTGGTTTTAGTAGTATTGATTATTCAAAGAGTTCATGAAATTTTTAATTTGGAAGAATGAATTATTTGGTGAGAATCATAAAGCATTCTCAAACCTGTTGCATATTGCTATGCTGCAGCCTGAGAAATTGTTACTGGCATTTGCAGGCATGACAGAAATTTAGTAAACTGTCGCCAAACCATTTGCTTGTTTGAATGCCAAGGTTTCCTTCCCCACATCACATGCAGTCTCCTGCTGCCAACAGTTATCAAAATACTCCCACAGTTGTCACAGAGAGAATTGTTTAGCGAGCTACTATTTCTTTATTCTTTCTGTTCTTACATTTCATTGCCTTGCTACTTCCTGGAGAGTTACATTTTAAGCCATGGATTGAAAAATAATATTTGAGATACAGCTATAGATACATAGTGTACAATGAAGTGATGTCAAGAAGGGGAAATTTCATGTTTTACTCTCTGTATATTTCCAGGTTTGAATTTTTATAGGGAGGCTATTTTTGGTGCAATGTAATACAACAATAAAAATGTATAAACACTTGAGAGGGAATCCATAAAAAGTAGTAAGAAAATCCAGCTAGATCAACTCATTGTAACCAAAGGCACACCAACTGTGTTGTACAAAAGGTAGTAATAGGATTTAGAGACAAAATCTATCCCTTTGAGTCAGAGATTGACAAACAGTTGACATTATTGGCACTGAGTTTGCATTTTCTGCGATAACCCCAAAGGAAAAGTGTCAGGCTAGGTTTAAAAACTCTTGCATATGGAATCAGGAAAGGTGGAAGATTGCAAAGGGTGATCCTGAATCTCAGTCACAAGTTGAAAGATGTATTAGAGTGTAGCATTCCACAGTACAATATTCATAACTATCATCTGAAATAAACATTTCTGTTTTGTCTTATATATTAATGGCTTTGATGAACACTTTGACAGTTCTATCTAAACTTCAAATGCATATACTTTTGAACAAGCAATTCTGCTGCTAGGAACCTCTTCTAAAGAATTATATCAGTGGATACATATTAGATAGATAGATAGATGCTCACCACAGAAAAATATTTCAAATATCCTAAGAGAGAGTATGAACAAAAAAAGTTCAATTTGCCCAAGGTCATAGGTTAAGAACTGGAGAGCAGGCATATCACCGAGGCATTCACCCCCTCCCTCAACTACACTACATTCTATGAGTTAATGGGTTGGGATGATTTTAGGTGCACTGTTTTTCCCTAGGAAGGTCAAAATTCATGGTGAGGGGAGGAGGAAGAGCAGGCAAAGTGTCATAGCTAAGGGATTAGGAATAAGGCAAGTTAGGTCAGTTATTTAAAACAACAAAAAATAAGGAAAACATTATGTATAATTAAGAGAACGGGATCCTGGAGGAAACTTTTGCTTCACTAAAAAAGCATTACCTTAACCAATTCTCACACTGCTCCCCAGAAACCATGAATCCCCATCCTAAAAGACTCCAAATGAATTTGTAGTTAATCTAGTAGGTTTTCTCACTCTGAAGTAGATGGAAGGGCTGAAGGAGGATCTTACTTCTGGGAATTGTTCTTTTCATCAAAGAAAATCCGTATTACCATGTGTTTGAGGGATTAGTACATCTTTGAAATCCTAAACAAATGGAAGTGGAATTCTTGCAATGTTCCCAAAACTATGAAATGAAGGATTTGGTGTGGCTGCTGTAGGGTTGGATGATTCAGAGCATTTTAAGGACCACATGCCAGTTTTAGGAGTCCTGGCATTTTCTGCATGCCATGGTGTTTTCAAGAATCCCAGATGCCACACTAGCATTCTGGATGACCTTGAGCCAAATACTAGTCCTTTTGTGACTAATTTTCTCTGTGTACCAAATGAAGAAGGGGTGTGGAATAGAGATCTGTAGTATCTCTTCAACTTGCAACTTAACTTATAATTTTCAACACTTACTGACTCACCAGCATTTTAAATAAACATTTAGTATTTATTAATGAGGGTTAGAAACGTAAAATTACTTTCTTAACACAATTCATAACACAATCACATATACATGTATATCCAAATCTATACATCTTTGGATAAAATGAGAAAATATTACCTACCCTTACACCTTTTTCATCTATGCTTTGTTTCTCTCTAGTATTAGGAAAGGACTTATAAGAACTTCTCATGGTTTAGGGAAAAAGGACAGTTTTGGGAGGAATGGAAGTTGAAGGAGTGGACTATGTTGGACCTCTTTATTTTATTTTACTTTATTTTGTGGTGCTGGGGATCAAACTCAGGGCCATGTGAGCATTAGGCTAACATGCTGCCACTGAACTACATCCCCAGCCCTTGTGAACACCTTTTATTTTCAGTGGCCTTTCATTCTTCCAGTGAGGGAACTCCACAGCCAACTCAGCCAGCAAAGGAGCTGATGTTGGAGTAAAGGCACTATTTAGCCTCATGATGTCATGAGCCAATAGACACAAAAACCATGATTTGCACTTGTGTTTTCCCTCATATTATTTCACAGTAACGACTACTCAGGTGTAAGTGGAGCCCTGATCCAAGATAAATTATAAAAGTGTGTGTGTGTGTGTGTGTGTGTATGTGTGTGATATGTAGGGCATGTAAAATGCATATCAAGTGCTTCTCTAATTATCTGAGCCCTGAAATGCAGGTTATTTTATATGTTTTATAGATCTCCAATTTCAGGAAGCGCCAGCTTAGTGTCACTAGTGACATCTTTCCAACCACCGTGATCACAGGAGCTCCAATCGCCTGTCCCCAGATGCATTTATCACTAAACGTAATGTTCAGAGGCTTAGTTTAAGTGTGGTTATAAAGTGTTCTACATGCAGCTGTAGTGTTTCTAGGGTTAAAAGGTGACAGTTTGTAAAAGGCTGGCGAAACAAAGTTCTCAAGGGAATCATTACAAACTTAGGGAGAAAGCAAAAGACATACACACATATGTAGACACACACATGGGAGATTTTATGCACACATTTCCCGCTTTGAATTAGGATCCTGTACGACACGTAGCGTGGTAACATTTGGAGTGGGTGGAGTCCCGGCCCCGCCGTCACGCTCCTCATTGTGACCCTCTGGCCGCGGCACCGCACAAGTGCAGAAATCTTCCTTCAGATACGCGCACACCCGGACGACGGGCCGACGCCCATCGGTGCAGTAAGCACGGCGCGCCCCTGGGGGTCCGTCCGTGGACAAGAGGTAGAAATCCCGACCTGAATGCCTTTACCACGGGCACCGTGTGAGCTCCGTAATAATGAGAAAAGATTTCTGCACACACTGTTTTCTCCAATGTCTGCACGCGTGCTTCCAAACTCACTAGAATACGGCTGGTGACATGGGCACAGACCCACGCCAGCCGACCTTAGAACCTGGGGGGCCACCAGCTCGAAGATGTCCCCGGCATGGCCAGCCGAGCCGACCAAAAAGCCAGAATAAACAGAAACGGTCTTTCCCCACCTTTTCTCCCCAGATACTCTGAGAGAAGCCAGGGCTCCCCGGGCGGCTGCGGCTTGAGCCCTCGAAGTGCAGTGGCGTATTTGGGCTTCCGCGCCATCAACAGGCGACACCTGTTCACCTGCGCATCCCACGGGGTGCTGACCCGCGGACTCAGCGCCTCGCGGTCACCGGGCACCCGCGGGGACGCCGCCTGCTGCCGACCCTGGTGGCTCATCCTCAGCGCCCCCATGTGGCTACCCGCAGCGGAGCGCAGCGTCCGGAACAGAACTGTCTTACAGAACCTCCGTGTGCGTTCCGAGTTTCCGGCGGAAGGAGTTTGGGGAGGGACCTATGTGCGGAGCTTCCTGTGGCCGCAGTGGAGGCGATGGCCGCAACTCTGCGGGGACTGAGGGTTTCGCGGGTGGCTTCCCGCGGCGGGGCCGGCTGGAGTGAGTTTCTGAGGCCGTGGGGACGGGAGGGAAGCGGAGAGATTGGAGCCTGACCAGACTGGGCTTGAAGGGGTCCTAGGAGGTCCGGCGGGCGGAGGAAGGAGGAGCGTTTTCTGCCCCCATTTAGGGAGGCTCAGGCCTGCCCGACCAAATTCTCTGGTTTGGGGTTTGGAAGATACTCGCAGTATCTCTCGCTCTATATTGAGAGTTTGGGATCTGGTCAAGAACTTTTTTTGTCCTTCCAAGACCCTTTCGTAACAGCTTGGCTCACCTTCCCATTGACCCTGGTCTGGTTTTCACTCAGCTTCCTGGTTACTTTTCTCCCTTTATTGTGCAGCACAGGTTGGAATATCAGAGGAAATTGGCGGGAAACAGATCTGATGTCAAAGAGCAAAGTTGAAGCAGTAGCGTGGATCTGGGCTAGCAGAGATTTCCATCCTCTGGATTTTAATGATTAATGTTAGAAAGTGGTTTGAGTTTACCTTTGTGCACGTTTTTGATGAATGTCGTTCAAAGTTCTGTTGCCTTCTAGTTTTTCCTTGTTATGGGACGACGATGAGGCGTCAACGGGGCAGGGTAAATACTTAGCTTTTACAGTTTTCAATTTTAACTTCACAGAATTTGTAGTAACATCGCCAGCTGCTCAGCTGTCACCCGCCGAACTGACAGAAATGCGGAATGAGCTCTTTAATAAAGAGAAGAACAGGCAGTTATCTTTAACTCCTCGAACTGAAAAGATTGAAGTCAAACATGTTGGGAAAACTGACCCTGGCACTGTCTTCGTGATGAATAAAAACATTTCAACTCCTTATAGTTGTGCCATGCGTAAGTCACAGAACCAGAATAGTTTGGGCTGTTTTACACAAGCACTGTGCAAGAACTGTGCAGAGGAGACAAGATGCTGTAGTTGCTTCCCGGACTTCTCGTCTTCCTTTATCTATTCACTGTCATTTTAGCGCCGGAGGGTACTATGGTATTGCAAGATTGGCGCTGTACGGCACAGGTTTTCCTAGGGCTTGCTTGAATGTGGGTGTATAGGGTAGCAGAAGACCAGACCTGAATATATTGTTACTAGTGGGCTTGACCCTTTTGATGTAGTGGGAGCAGTCACCATGCAGGGTTTTGGGATGAAAGAGTGCTGTGCCTCAAATGATCAGCTTTTTCCCCCATCTTTTTCATTCTAGCTCCTTGTAGCCTAAGTTACATCTTTTTCTGCTTGCCAGTTGCCTCTTTGTGTGTTTTGTTGACATTTATATGCACATGTAGTAAGTGTGTGGATGGAAACGCACAAGGGGTGAATGTGACTGGGATAAGTATATTTGTTTTGTTCATATCTTAAGAGAGATAATTGTGGTTCATGTGAGATTTAGTGTGGAAATGAAGGGAGAAGTCTCTAAAGATTACTTTTGGTCAAAAACATTTGGATGGAGTTCATTTTGTGTGTATGTGGGTGCTGTTCTAGCTTTTGAACTCAGGACTTCATGCTTACTAGGCAGGTGCTGTACCACTTGAGCCGTGCCCTCAGCCCTTTCAGATAGCTTTTCGAATTTTTGCCTAGGGCTGGTCTCAGTCTGTGACACTATCTGTAGACTTCCATGTAGCTGGGATCACAATCGTGTGCCACTGCTGTCTGGATTATTTGCTGAGATGAGGTCTCACTTTTTACCAGGGTTGGCCTCTAACCTTGATCCTTCTTTTCTCTGTCTCCCAAGTAGCTGGAATTACAGGCATGTACTCTGTACTCTGCTGTGGATGGAGCTTTGATAGAAATGCTCTTTAAACTTAGCTATCCCCCAAATATATATACAAAGGCATGACTAGCTGCATTATTTATACTTGTAGAAAGCTCAGTAATGATTCTATTTAAGTAATTAACAGCAGGCTGGCAGAGTAGCTCAGCAATAAGAGTGCCTGCCTAGCAAGTGCAAGGCCCTGAGTTCAAACCCCAGTACCACCACCAAAAAACAAAAAAAATAGCAGCAGTTACTACCGTGATTTAGTTTAAGTAATGTATACTCTCAGTCTTCCTCTTCTGGCACTTAAATTTGTAATTAAGATAATTATTTACTCCTTTGGTTTTCAAATATTTTTTGAACTTCTACTGTATGATAAGCATTAGGATTACACAGGAAAGTTAGATTAAACTTAGGCCCTAATGGAACTTTATACATTACATTTATAGAGATGAAATTTCTGAACCATCTTCAGCAGGAGCTCTAAGACTCTTATCACTCATACTTATAGTTATTCAGAAAATTTCTACTGAGCACCTACTATATTTCAGGCCCTGTGTAAGGCTGTGGATTTAGTGATAGGTAAGCAAAAATAGACAAGATCCTGCCTTTATGGAGCTTATGTAGTGGTTGGTAAGTTAGACTTGTAGTTTGACCATTTTGTGAGATGTGTGTATTTGAAAAATATCTAGGAGAGTTAGAGTTGTATTCTAGGGACAAAGAACAGATTAGAGTTGATTGGCTTATGTGAATTCACATTCATAATTAAAGAATGGTAACTGCTTGAGTCTGTCATGGAGTTAAGAGGTGGTTTGGGAGTCAAAACTCAAAAAAATCTAAAACAGACTTATGTGAGTGTATATTTAACCTTTTCTTCTAAGTTGAGTATGCATCTATCCAAATATCCCTGTTGCTCTGAATATTTAAGTGTAGCCCTTAGATTGTTTTATTAATCGTTGACAAATTAATTTCAAATTAGACTTGGTCTTACTGAATTTTGCAGATAATTTGGTAATTTTTTGTTAAGAATCAACAGTACCTTGAGTGTGTTGAGCTTTTTTTTTTTTTTTTTTACTGGTTTTAGATGTATAATATTTCAGTCATAAACAGCATTTTGCCTTTTCATTGTTTTGTTTTGTAATGCATCACTTAAACATGTTAACTTTTCACTTTGGGTTTTGTTAGATGTAGATCACCAATCAATTTTAAATCCCTAGATTTAAGTGAGTGGTACTGCAGGAAATCCATTCTGGCTCTTGTGGACGGACAACCTTGGAACATGTATAAGCCTTTGACTAAGTCCTGTGAAATTAAATTTCTTACTTTCAAAGATCATGACCCAGAAGAGGTCAATAAGGTATTTTTATCTCTACGTTCTCCCTCACCCTCCAGTTGTTTTCTTCTTTTTAATCAAACCTATTTTTTGGAGTATGAATATGGCCAAGATCATATGTTGTACTGTACTAGATAGTCAGTGTTTTACAGTGTTAGATTAGGTATTCTCATTACTCAAAAGAATACCATGGCATGTATTTCTCTATTTTCAATTGAGAAAACTTGTGACATGTCTTTTGACATGTCTATGTGAGATAACTTTGCTCAACTTATGTTTATGGATTCCATTCGCAGTGCTTGAATTCAGCCTTTGAGCATCTTCTCTGAGTGATTTCAGTAATTCCCCCTCTCTCCCCTTTAAATGTTTTCTTTCTCAGTTTGATTGATTAAGAGTTTTATTAAATGACTTGACTAAGGACCATGTCATTTACCCCTAAAGCTCTAGGTGATGATATTTATATACTCTTCAGGTCCTGCATAATCTGCCCTCAGTTTCACCTTCCACAGCATCTTTTTACCTGTTCTTTGCTCTGGCCACACTATTGTATCTGGTCATTAATGGTTTATGCTGTTACTATCTTCTTTGCTTTGTTTATTCTTTTCCTTCAGTGCTGAGCATTTTTTCCCCCTTTAAAATTCTGTTTCTGTTTCATGGTTCAATTAAAGTGCCATATGCTCTGTGAAAGCTAGGTTTCTGCTTGTGAGAATTCTTTAGGGTCTACCAACACTTGGCTAGTTCTCTAGATACAGTATTTTATTTTTATCTTGTAGCATAAATTGTTGAGTTCATTAGATTCCTGGCTGTGTGAATATAGGGATAATTTCTCTATTGGGTCTAGTCCTTGACTTCATACAGTAGGTGTTTAATGAATATTTGATGAAATAAGAAGATAACAGAAATGTTAGTAGTAATAGTCAGCATTGAGTATTTATTATGTATCAGGCATTTTCTAGGTGATCTACAGGTGTTAACTTGTTTAATCTTCATACAAACTCTCCAGAATATTCTTTTCATTTTTTTTGATGAATAAACTGACAAAGAGCAGTTCCACAGTTTGACCGAGGTTACTAGTTTAGGAAGTGTTGAAGCCAGGATTTGAACATGGGTGTTCTGACTGAAGCTTAATAGATTTTTTTTTTTTGTACTAGAGTTTGAACACAGGGCCTTGTGCTTGCTAGGCAGGCACTCTACCCACCAGAGCCACTCTGTCAGCCCTTTTTTTGCATTAATTTCCAGGTACTCTCTTGAGTTTTTGCTTGGGCTGGCCTAGACCTTGATTCTTTTATTTACACCTTTGAAGTAACGGGACTACAGGCACTCACCATCCTGCCCAGAAACTTAATAGATATTTTAAAACAATACTAAGTAGAATAGATGAAGAAGTACATTTTGCTAATTGCTTTTAAAACCTGGATTTGTACTTTTTTTTAGTGTAATATGATTATAGAGAAAATAAAATGGAGTAGTCCCTGCCACATGCAACCAAGTGACCCGACTCTTGTAGTATTTAAATGTACCAAAGAGATTATGAAAATCAAGTGCTTAATTAGAGTAGTGCCAGTAGGGCAGTTACGATGGTTAGGAGTGGTGCAAGATGCATGTTCCTCTTTTTGACTGACAGGGTCATTGCATGGATACCCATATCAGACATGTCCATGTATCAAAATGTGCTAGTAAAGCCCAGTTAGTGGTGAGGCAGCTTTGTTACAAATATGAGTAACTTGAGTGATGTTATGTGATGTTAGGTATAAGATAGAGTCATAAATAATTCTTAAAACTTAGTTTTTCTTACCATACATGCAAATTTTAAATTTATAAACAGTTACGTATTAATATATTCATTTCACTTTCATGTAAGTTTGCTAAGAACTTAAGTTTGTCCTGGGTTAAAAGTAAATACTATCAAAACTGGTCACTGGTGACTCAGGCCTGTAATCCTAGCTACTTGGAAGGGTGAAATCAGGAGGATCATGGTTTGAGGCTAGCCTCGGCAAACAGTTCGAGAGACCTCATCTCCAAAATCACCTGAGCAAAATGGGCTGGAGGTGTGACTCAACTGGTAGAGTGCCTGCTTTGCAAGTGTGACGCCCTGAGTTCAAACCTCAGCTCCCTGCCCTGAAAAAATACTGTCAGATATTAAAAGTAGTGGTCAATAACCATTATGGTGTCTTATATCTTACACAGAAACACTGCTAACAACTTGAAGTTAAGTGCAATATTCCTTGCTAGTTTTTGCTGCGTAAAGGTGATGTCATGCCTGATGGTAACTATTGCTACAGGGCTAGTGTAGCTTTGATTCTCATGGCTGAGAATGAACAGAGATTTGAGAAATACTTTCTAAGCCAAATGTTTACTTAAATGTTATTAGTAAATATTAATATTATATCTTTAATATTATGTAAATTTTAATACTTATTATTAAATTGTAGTGAATCTTATTGTATGTTTGTAATTTTCTTCTAGGCTTATTGGCGTTCTTGTGCCATGATGATGGGCTGTGTAATAGAAAGGGCATTCAAAGATGAGTATGTGGTCAGTTTGGTCAGAGCCCCAGAAGTTCCTGGTATGTACACTTATACATACTTTTGTAATCCATGAATATTTTGGTACCTGGTTTTAATGATGTACAAGTTCATCGCTAATTTAATGTAGTATCATGCATATGCTTTGTTTATTGTAGGTAACAAAATCCGTCCTATTATAATGTAGTATGATGTAATCTTTGAAGGCAATAATTACTATGGTAGCATTAGTGTAAAAATGTTTCTCATGAATATGAATTTGGTGGAATTACACTGTCACAGTTATTTGTTTTTAAACATGTTAAGCTTTATTTCTAATTTGAATGTATAGAGGAAGAGGAAATGGGTGTATATGTAGACTAGTAGTAAGAGCTGTGCTTAGAAATTACCATAACTCAGGAGAGGCACACTCTTTGAAGAGGTGGAAGGGTACAAATTCTATAATTTTCATCAAATTAGGATTTTGTGTAGTAGGATCACATGTCTATTTTTTTTAATAAAAAGAAGTACGTATATCAAAATATTTGAAAGAAGCCCAAGAAATGATTCTAAGAGCAACAGCAACAAAAGAAGATACATAAGAGATAGGTAAAAGAAATACAACAATTCATGCCCACTTAGTTATTCATATACTTCCTTGAATGTTAAAAAAACCTGCCAGTGATTTTGGATTAACAAAAGATGAGTTGATTTTGGGAGTGGGGAAAGTTGCCAGAGCTCTCACGAACAACTGGGATAGTGGCATTAGTTTTGAAAGAGTTGGGAGAGATTTCTAAATTTTCATTTTATGGTCTAAATATTCAGTTGTTGGAAATTTGTAACCTCCTGCTCTAGGGGATTTGACTTAGCTTTTTATTTTGGTTGGATTTACAGTAACTGCTGGAGCCTTCTGCTATGATGTAGTCTTAGATAAGAGATTGGATGAGTGGATGCCAACCAAAGTAAGTATACATTTGGCAGTATTAGTTTTAGAGTCTGTGCCTTTCTCTGTTAAATGATTCCATTTGGTAGTGTTGAATGGTACTGCACATTGTGAACACTTAAGAGAATCTAAATGAATTATTCAATCTATCTGTCATTGCTTTTTCAGCAAATTTAAGGCAAGATTTGTGAGTGGAGGTATTCACAACAACATAGCCAGGTGTATTGAAGCCTTATGTCCTGCTTGACCTTTTCTTGAAGTGCCTTCTAGTTTTGAAGTTAGTAGTTTTCAAGATCCCCAGAATATTAAATACAGAAGCTTAACTCTCTTGATTGATGTGGTGATGGGGGATCTGGAACCATATCTATTTGGATTCCCATGGCACGATTTGAAAATCATAGCCTTAAAGTCATCTTAGTGTGTTGCATACTGTGGTGTCCCTATATACACAAGGGTCATATTGAGAGGGGGATGAATAAAGAATCAGACTTAACAAAGCTATCCCAAATAACAAAAAACTAAGTATTAACAAGCTAAAGTCATAAAAGGTCTGTCTTCATAATTAGTGTGGTCGTTATTGGTCTGGTACAAGGGTAGCTACAGGGCTTTGCTCACAAGGACAATCTAGATGAGTTGCCCAGGAGGTACAAGTAATGGATGGCTGTCAGAAGTCAAGCCTACATAATTAGTTGTTCTTGGGGGGAAAATACGTAAATATCTAATTCTCAGTTAAGTAAAACTCTTATGTCCTATAGATCGGAAGTTGAGATCAGAAAAGGAGAGGCAGTGTAAGCATACTATTTTATCAATTCTATCAGTTTTTCTTGCATTTTAATCTCTGAAAACAGGTGTACCTTACAGTAGATGGCATCTTAATGATCATAATCGGTAGGATTTTTTTCCTTAGTGATACATTTTAGATTTAGTGAAATACTGTAACTTAGAACAAGGGCTTTGAAGTCAGGGAAATTCCAGCTTTAAATTCTGGCTTTGGAAGTTACTTCTTTTTAATCCTGCTCATATTATTTATTATTGAGAAGACAAGAAGAGGGAAATAGGAGAGAAGAATGAAGAAAGGGAGAGGGAGGGAATGAGTGGTAAAGAGGGGGAATAAGAAAGAGATTGAAATTTTTTCTTATGATTTCTGAGCTTTTATTGTTGTAGCTTATTCCTTCTCAAATATGTCTGCGAATGTAAGAATAGATTCTCATTATATGGGAGGCAGTTAAGTAAAAACTAAAACTTTAAAAGAGAAATGTACCAGCTGGTGTAGGCTTCATGGTATTAGGTGGATGACTTATAGAGAGTCAGGAGTGTTACACTGAAGGAATGGTTATATTAAACCAGGAATGCAGATTTTTTTTTTTTTAAATGTTAAAAGTTACCCCTTTAGCTACTGGCTGCTGGTGGCTCACATCTGTAAACCTAGCTACTTGGGAGATTGAGATCAGGGGGATGTGGTTCAAAGCTAGATTGGGCAAACAGTTTGCCACATCTCATCTCCAAAATAACCAGAACAAAATGGACTGGAGGTGTGGCTCAAGCAGTAGAGTGCCTGCTTTTGAGTGTGAAGCCCTGAGTTCAAATCCCAGTCCCACCAAAAAAATTATCCCGTTAAGAATGAAAGAGTCATTTTGTATGAAAATGTCTAATAGGAAATTTATGGAAAGAATTTTTTTTAAAGGTTTTTGTGAGACAGGGTCTTGCTATGTAGCCTGGGCTAGCCTTGAACTTGGCAATGCTTCTGCCTCAGCAGAAGCATTAAAATTATTTGTGTAATAGTGCTTGATCTTTTCTATATTAGTAATGATTTATGGCATGAAAACTAAATTACGGTTTTTATTAAAAATCATAGACATTAATATGTATTACTGAGTAATCATTTTAATTGTATAAAGTTGACATTTTCATTAGACAGAAATTTATAATATTGAACATATACTATATTTATAATATTGAACATATGGCTAATGCTGATACTACATGTCTAGTGAAACTTTGAGTTATGAAAACAGTAATTTTTCCCCCATATATTTAATAAACTTAGTTTTATACATACTGTAAACACAGGGAAAGTTGATATTTTCATTTTTAGGCGTTTGTAATAATGAACATACTATATTTTGTATAGAACCAATGCTGATACTGCATGTCTAGTGAAACTTTTAGTTATGAAAATAATACTTTTCCTTATATATTTTATAAACTTAGTTTTATTCAGTGTAAACACATTCTTATGTCTTGCTGTTTATTTATTGGCATTTCTACATTAGTGTTTTAGTTTTTATAAACATAAGGCTATAAAATATTTTGGATGAAATTTTATTGTAATTTCTTTATAGGCTTACTTTTAACTATTAGTGCCGGATAGTAATTATAGGTAATTTGTAGAGTTGAGAGAATGTGATCTAAATGTTCAGTTATTTCAAATTTCCTAATAAATTTTCTTTTACTTTTAGTTGGATTCATAGTACCAAACATACAGTTTTATGTTATCTGGCTTGTGGAAAAAATGCTTTTAGGTAAATTGTTGCTAAAGGTTCATACTTTCATTTTTAAGGAGAACCTCCGTTCCTTCACAAAAGATGCTCATGCTTTAATTTACAAAGATCTTCCATTTGAAACTCTGGAAGTTGAAACAAAAGTGGCGTTAGAAATATTTCAGCACAACAAGTAAGTGTTGACTTTATTTAAAGCAAGGTTAAACCACCCAAAACATGTAATAATGAACACTCAGCTTTTAGGAACTTTTGTATTGGATGTACATATGACACCCTTTTTATTTTCTGCTCTGAGGTCTCTTCTGTACCAGTCTATTGTCATTTGTTTGTCTCACTGAGAAAAATGGTCCATGTCTTTGTTGATAGTTCTCTCACTCTGTTTTACTTTTCTTTTCTTAGGTCAGCCATTCTTGTTATATCAACATAGAAGCATGTTTCCCTTTTTTTTTCCACTTTGAAGTAATAATTAAATTAAGCAACTGTATTATTTTGTGCACTTGGCAAAAATAATTGTCTTGCCTTTCCTTTTATCCTTCCACTCTTTTTTTTTTGGCAGTATGTAGTTTTGAACTCAGTGCCTACTTGAACAACACTTCCAATCACATCCTGCCACTCTTAAGTGAAAAAGATAAGATTGAAAATGCAAGCAGTTTGGAAGGAGATGGTAGTTGAAGTAAAATGTTCGTACATTCAGGTCACAGTCTATAGCATGTGGAATGTCCATTTGATGGATTTTCATTGTCGATATTACTTTCTTTCTTTCTTTCTTTTTTTTTTTTTTTTTTGTGAGACTGGGGCTTGAACTCAAATCTTTGCTCTCCAAAGCAGGCACTTTACCACTTGTACCATACCTCCAGTCCATTTTGTTTTGGGGTCTTATGAACTATTTGCCCAGTCTGGCCTTAAACTGTGATCCTTTTGATCTCAGCATCCCAAGTAGCTAGGGTATTGTAGGCACAAACCACCGGCACATGGCTTCTTTGTCAGCATTTTAAATTCTGCATGACTTCTCAAATTGCTTTCTCTCATGAGCTTTCTGCGAGCAGTGTTCTATCGACCTAACTTAGGGGCAACTGGAGATGCAGAAAGGACAAAGCATAGACAAATGTGCATAAAGTTGGGGTCAGGTGTGCTATGTGCTTGGATGGAGACACACAACAGCCTAGTTATTTCTTTTCTCTATTAACTCTTACTTTGCTTCTTTTCTTCTCTGTTCTGTAAGGCCTTCTTTATTATTCTTTAAAACCTTGCTTCTTTTCTATTCTTGAAAGTCTCTTTCCTTAGACTCACACTGTCCCATGTTTTCTTTAATTTCTTGTAAAGTCTTGGCCCTCAGACTTGCACTGTCCCATGTTCTCTCCTAAACTCTTGGTCCTCAGGCTTGCAGACACACAGGAGCCAGCATCATCAGCAGCAGCCACGTCATTCTCGCAAGCAGTCCACCAATCCAACCATCTCTCCAAACCAATCCCATCAATGCCTCACATCCTCCTTCAGGGAGTGTTTTATATACAGTGGCAAACAAGGAGGTGGAGCAGTAGTTCTTGGGGAAGGGTGTGACATTTTAACAAGAGAAACCTGCATTACTCTCAGAATGTAAACAATTTAGGAAAAGCAGCTGTGCTGCATTTTGCCTTTGCCCCCTTCTGCAGCTGGGGCCATGCCAAACTCAGCCTGTAGATTACTGAGCACAACTCTGCTTATTGTCAGGTTCTCATAGGCTTCTCATAATCTGCTCCTCATACCTTTCCTCCTCAGAAAGCTTCTAGTTCACCCTTTTCTATAAGTTGTAAGAACATAAGCTAAATTTTAAAATTAGTCTAATAGAAAAATTAGAACTAATTAGGGAAATCTGTGATGCAAAAAAAAAAAAATCATAACTACTGATGCCCAAATATACACCTGCACATTGTTAAAGGTTATGGATTAGAATTTCTTAGTTATATAAAAGTTGAATCATAAATTCTCTTAGGGATTAGGGATAGTTATCATAAATGTGTTCTTTTTTATTAGCATATAATAGTTGTACAGCAGAATACATTGTGATATTTACACATGTGCTTACAATGTGTCTTAGATTTACCCCTCCATCATTCTCCCTCTTCTCTCTCCCCTGTTCTTAGAACAGTTTCAACAGGTTTCATTCTTGTATTTTCATATATATTAATACAAAGTACATCCACCATATTCATCCCATTCATGCTTTTCTTATGCTCCCCCATCATTGGTACCTACCCCAAGAAAGGACCTGTTTTACCCCTGTCCTTCATCATTATTATTATTTTTAAAGTGTATGTTGATAGTCTGAGGAATTTTGCCTTGGCACTTCAGGCCTGTATATATCATGCTTTAATCGAATTAACTCCCCTATCACTTACTCTTTCTCTTCCCTACTATTCAACAGCTCATGGTGCATTATGTTATATAATATCACATGTAGATGGATTGTTTCAATAGTTTTCATTCTGTGACATTTTCTTTCCCTCTTTCTCCTACCATAGTCTCCTCAAACACAAATACAATGTTGTTATCTCTCCCAATATATGTGTTTGTTTATGTGTAATATATAGATAATGATCATATATGCATTTATATGTACATTTATCTTATAGGTCTAGCTTCCACCTGAAGGAAACATGCGACCTTTAACATTATGAGCCTGGCTCACTTTGCTTAACATGATGTTCTCCAGTTCCATCCACATAGATGTGTTCCTGAGTTAGCTCAAGAGTCTCAGCTTATACTCTAGCTTGGCATTTGCAAAGCAATATGACCCCTAGTATTCTTCCATAGACATGAATTGATGCTTGAAAAATGTGTGCACTGTATTTAGCCAAGTTGGGAGAAGAGTTGCAAAACAAAATTTACTCTTTGCACTCTAGGGTCTTCTGAAGTGGATATGTAAAATAGTACTTTCTGAAGGAAATGGCCGTGGAACACTTTTTCTTGAAGCATTTTTATTATATCCTGGAAGCAGGGTATAATGCTTAGAAACTAGTATTAGCATACTGCTTTAACTGAATTAGAATACAGATAGTACTGTAGAATTGAACCATCATTTACAGCATTGATTCTGTAAGAAAATTTCTTGGGTTATCAGAACTCATCAAATGACTTTCTGGTAAAGGTCCTGGCACATGCTGTCCAATAGAAATATAATATGAACTGGGCATAAAATTCTAAATTTCCTAGTAGTTACATTTAAAAAAGTCAAAAGGTGTAATTGATTTTAATAATATATTTTATTTAACCAATATTCCTAAAATATTATTTTAACACATGATTAACATTGAACACTATTAATGATGTTTTATATTCTTTTTTATACTAAGTCCTCAGAATCTGGTATGTGTTATACATTTAAGGCATATTTTAATTAGGATTAATCACATTTATGTGCCCATAGCTAGCGACAGTATACTTTTGGCTTCCATTCTATATATTAAGATTTCCCTTTCCCACACTGAACTGTCACAGTCTGGGATTTTGGTAACATAACTGCGTGTGTGATGGGAGGAAGGCAGTAGTTTGGGATAAGGTTGAAAGGACAAAAGATTGTTGGACTGTGAAAGGTAGGTTAGTAATTGGACCTTTCTGCTTCCAAGGGAAAGGAAGGAACCTTTAGTGGCTTTGGCTCACAGGGGACAGGAGCATCTCTTGAAAGTATGTCAGGAAGAATAGGTATTCAAGAGAATTAGTCCCTTTCATAATGTCAGAGGGGCTCTGGCAGAATGGGGATGGCAATCAGTGGATGGTCTTGCATAAGCAGATGCTTCCCTGTACCAGGTCATTGTGCCCATACTGTTCATGTGCACTTAATATTTGCTTAGCACTCTGGGCTAAACAGACAAAGCTCTTTGTAGTAAGTAAAAGTCCTTTTTACCTGGGCTGTGCAGTTTTACATGTTCTTTTAGTTATAATGACAGAATTGAGCAGTTTTGAGGGACATTAGTCAGGAGAATTGACAGAACTTGATGAATTGGATGAAGGGGTATAGCATGTAGGAAGGAGGAATTGAGGAACTCTCCCATGTTTACTTGGACATGTGAGTGGTTAGGAGTATTATACTGAGATAGGAAATGCAGGAAGAGAAACAAGTTCGGGGAGAAAAGAGGGAGATCATTTGCTCAGTTTGAAAATTTAGGGATTTAAAGTGTTTGTGGAACATCCTGGTGCATGTCTGGAAGGGTCTTAGATACGGAACCTGGGGCACAAGAAGAGACAGGTAGATTGGAGGCAGAGATATGGAAGATATCCCTGCATAAGTAGTAGCTAACACTTGTAAATCAAGGAGCTAAGCCTAGGGAGGATGCTTAGAGTGAAAAAGAGAGTCTGGGGTAGAAGCCTTAAAGGAGAGAAAGAGAAAAGAGAGAAAGGAAGGGTTAGGAGAGTAGGGAGAGACAGACAGACACAGAGACATGCCAAAGAGATAGAATGGCCAACAGGAGGATATGCCATTGAGGCCTATGGAAAGAGCACTGTGAAAAGTGCTATCAAAATGTGTCCATTAGGTAGGCATCAAGCAGGCACCTATGATTTTGCAGAGAACACTTTGGTGGAGTTGTGGGTTTAACACCTGATGAAAAGGAGGTAAGGAAGGTGAGGCTCCAACTTAAACCACAGCTGAGGAGAAAGAGAAAGAGAAGTGTCTTTAAACACTTTTGTATGTTTAGAGTTTAAAGATTTTTCTTCTATCCTGCCTTTCAGGTACAAAATAGATTTCATAGAGGAGAAGGCATCTCAGAACCCTGAGAGAACAGTCAATTTATGTAGGTAAGTAAAGGCCTAAACATCATTGCTATGCTTATTTAGAGTAAGGCTTTATTTATTGTTGCCTGAATGAAATGTATGACTGAAATAGATGAATTTGTACCACATTTTGTTATTACTGTCTTATTTTCTATTGCTTTGTTCTTGTTTTGATGTGCTGGTAAATGGAAGCTTTAAATTATTTTTAGGGAGTAAAGATAATTAAATTACAACTGTGCTTTATTGTTTTTTTTCTTCCCTTTAGTAGTTGAAAAATGTTAATGTAATTTTTAATTTTGAAATTGGGTGAAATGTTCATTGTTAAGAGTTGAACATGATTGATCTCTGTATAGGACTATGAATACTTAATTAGTTATTACTTAGATTATGTGTTACATGTTAAATTGGGATGTGCTCCATAAGTGGATGAGGAAGGTCCACTGCTTGTGTTGATATTTTCCCATGGGGAACAAGTCCCAGGACAGTGCTTATGCAAAATGGCTTTGTGGCCTGAATCTGTTTTCTCAACCTCAAGTTTTCTGGATTACTACTTAACTAGAAACTGCTCTTTGTTTCTAGACCCAATCTGTCTTGCATGCTAAATTCTAAGCTCTGTTGCAATGGGTTATTACAAAGTTTTGGATTATCAGATTTAGACAATTGGATGAACTTGATAGCATGATGTGTGTTCTTGACTCTTAAAGACCTTTAAATTTATATGAATGCTAATTACGAGAAAGATTCACTGAATTTACTTTTCAAAGTTTACCTTCTTTTCTTGACATTGTATATCAAGGATTGTTAGAGTTAGAATTTAGCCTTATGGATTGTTTATGAGTAAGGATGTAACAGCAAAGAGAATGAGTAGATTTCTTTTTCAAACTGTTATAAAAGATTTGATATTGAGGTTTTGTTTATTTTTTAAATCAAATTAGAATTGGTGACTTCATTGATGTGAGTGAAGGCCCTCTTATTCCAAGAACAAGTATTTGTTTTCAGTATGAAGTGTCAGCAGTTCACAATCTTCCACCCACGCAGCCAAGTCTTAGAAGAAGATTCCAGGGTCTTTCTTTACCCATTCACTTAAGGGTAAGTAAAGCTGAAAGTTCCAGGCCTTCCACTTTGGGGATAGATTAATTCTAGACTTGATTTTATATCATTTTCAGTACATAAATTTTAATTTTCCTTAAGCTGTGTGCCACTAATATTTTGTAAACTTGTTTGTGATTAAATAATAAATTCACCTAGAATATGAACGTTAACTCAAAAGAAACAATTGTTGAAAAAATTAAATCAAATTGTGATATTATTTTTAATTTTTTAAAGTAGCATAGATGAGGATGATACTGGAATGCGTAGTTTTTTCTGTTTTCTATAGTTCTTTTTTTTTAAATTGTTGTACTGGATGGGGGTACATTGTGGCATTTATGAAAGTTCTTAAACTATATCATATTTATCATAGTTGAATTCACCCCCCCACAATCATTCACCTTTATCCTCGCCCCCCCCATTCCTGGAACAGTTTCAACAGGTATCTATTTACATATACGCGTACACAGTATTTGCAATATATTTACCTTCTTATACCCTTTCTCCACATCCTTCCCTTGCACTGGTACCAATCCCTCCAGACAGGGCCTGTTTCACCCTTCTGTTCTGTGATTTTGTAAAAGAAAAGTAAAATGACATTTTTGTTTGTTTGTCCTTCTGAAATTTTTCATTATAACCTGAATTGGTTCATCTCCTCTATTTTTCTTATTTCTACCTTAGTCCCCTTTTAAAAATTCTGCATTCATCTTCATCTTCATCTTCTTAACTCCCTTCTTTTATCCTCCCTCTCTTGTATGTGACATCTTCTTAACATGACCTGTTTTTCATAATATTGCTGTATTTGTATTATTTCTATATTCTGCATATGAGAGAGAACATGGCCTTCTGAACCTGGTTAACTTCACTTGAGATATCTCCAGTTGTATTGTATTTACTTGCAAATGACACAATTTTCTTCTTCTTTGTGGCTGAACAAAATCCCATTGTCTATAAGTACCACATTTTCTTGATCTATTCACCAATAGTAGGGCATCTTCGCTGTTTCCATAGCTTACCTATTGTGAATAATACTGCGATAAACATGGGTGCGCAGGTAGGTACCCTTATTGTAACCTGACTTACGTTCCTTTTGATACAGTCCTAGGAGTGGAATTACTAGATCATACAACAGTTGCAATTTTAGTTTTTGAGGAACCTCCATACTGTTTTCCATAGCGATTATACTAATTTACTAATTCCCACCAACAGTTTATGAGGGTTCCTTTTTCCCCACATCCTTGCCAACATTTGTTCTTTTTGTTCTTGATGGTAGCCATTCTAATAGGAGTGAGGTGGAATCTTAATATGATTTTGATTTGCATTTCCTTTATGACCAGGGATGTTGAGCATTTCTTTATGTTTTTTTAGCCATTTGGATTTCTTCCTTTGAAAAAAGCTCAGTTTGGTTCATTTGTCCATTTCTTCATTGGGTCATTGATTTTTTGCGAGTTTAGTTTTTTGAGCTCTGTATATTCTGGTTAGTAATTCCTTGTATAGGTAGCAAAGATTTTCTCCCATTCTGTGGGCAGCCTCTTCAATTTGGTGACCATTTCTCTTGTTGTGCAGAAACTTTTTAATTTCATGTAGTCCCATTTGTCAATCCTCTCTCTTAGTTGCTGAGCCATTTGAGTTCTATTGAGGAAGTCATTGTCTGTGTCTATTAATTCCATTGTATTCCCTGGTCTTTCCTGTACTAGCTTCAGAATTTCAGTTCTTATATTAAAGTCTACTTTGAGTTGATACTTACATAGGGTGAAAGACAGGGATCTAGTTTCAGTTTTCTGCAGGCAGATAACCAATTTTCACAGCAACATTTGTTGAAGATGCTGTCTTTTCTCCATTGTATGTTTTTGATGCCTTTGTCAAAAATCAGGTGGGCGTAGCAGCATGGATTTGTATCTTGGTCTTCTATTCCATCCCACTGGTCTTTATATCTGTGCCAGTACCATGCTGTTTTTATTGCTGTGGCTCTGTAATGTAGTTTGAAGTAGGGTATTGTGATACCTCCAGCATTGCTCTTTTTGCTCAGTATTGCCTTGGCTATTTGCAGTCTTTTGTGCTTCCAACTGAACTTTAGGACTGATTTTTCAATCTCTGTGATGAATGTCATTGGAATTTTGATGTGAATGCATATTGTTAAGACCTTTCTGCAGTGCTTTTGGCCTTAGATAGAGCTAAAGTCTATCATTTTCCATGTACCTCCCTTGCACTTGCTAATGATTTTTTATTTTTGTTTTTGAGACAGCGTCTCATTATATAGCCCTGGCTGGCCTTGAACCTGCTTCAGTCTCTGAGTGCTGGCGTACTGGGATTACAGATGTGCACACCACACCTGTATTATGTCAACGTTTGATTTTGAGATAATTGCAGTTATAAGAAGTAGTAAGGAGATCTCATGTACCTTTACCCATTTCTTTAATGATAATATCTTGTAAAGCTAACATACAGTATCACAGCCAGGGTATGGACATTGATCTAGTAAAAAATCAGCCATGCATATTTGTGTAGATCTATTTCTGGGTTCTCAGTTCCGTTACATTGATCATATATGTCCTTCTCTTTGCCAATATCATATAGTTCTGGTTAATATAAATATAAATAGGTTGTAAATCATGTAGAATAATTTCTCCCACAATAGTATTCTTTATCAAAATTGTTTAATTGTTCTAGTTCCTTTGCCTTTACCTTTAATTTTAATCTTTTCTGTGTTGATAAAATCTTGCTGGGATTCTAATAGCAATTTCACAAAACCTCTGTAGCAATTTGGGAAGAATTGTCATCTTTAATTGTTGAGTCTTCCAGTCTATTAACTTAGAGCATCTTTTCATTTATTAAAATATTTTTCATTTCTTTCATCAATATTATATAATTTTTGGCACACATGTCCTTTACATGTTTGATTTTTCTGTACATACCTGCTTTCCTAGCACTTCTTGTTTCGGTACATGGTACCACCATCTACTTAGATGTTTAAAGTAATTCTTGATTCTCTTTCCCTCATGTGTCCATCCCACCCATCATTCAGTCCTTTCAATTTTTTTTCTTTGTGTGTGTGTGATTCTAGAATTTTAAGTCAGGGCTTCCCACATGGTAGGCAGGTGCTCTACTGCTTAAGCCACGCACCAGCCCTCCTTTCAATTCTTAATGGATTATGAATTCATGCACTGTATTGCATCTTACTTACTACTGTTTCTCTTACCCAAGTTCCTTTTTTTTCTTCACTTCCTTTCTTTGCTTTTATTCTTGCATCTTCTACTTAGTAGCCAGAATGACTTTTTTAGTACACAAATTGATTATGTAATTCCTTCTGCTCAAACTTTCCAGTGGTTTCTCTTGAACAAATCCCAGCCCTTTGCCCTGTTTGACAAAGCCCTGCATTATCCAGCTCTGCTTGCTGATTTCATCTCATACCACTCTCTTCTCTACTCACTGTATTCTAGCCACAACCTAAGGTGCATGAGTATTCTTCTTAGCAAGCTTTGATTTTCCCTTCAGATATATCATACTGCTCTTTTTCTAGAAGGGTTTACACATAGTTATTTAGTAATGTTTCCTTTTCTTATGGATTTTCTGAGCTCTCTGTGAAATACTCACTGGCTTACCTATCTACTTCATTATCACCTTTAATTGACAATAGTTTCTGCTTTTTTTTTTAAAGTGTAATTTGCTAAGTCATCGAATCTGTCATTGCAGTATGAATATGTCACAGGTGTTTCCTAATGAACATCTTTTTGTGGTTGCTTATGATTTAAAGAATGAACCTCTAGCACATTGAAGATGGCTACTTAGGGAAAGCTACAATCTTTGGGAAAGTGGGGCATATTTCTTTTCCTATTAGAAATAATGCACTCTACTGTGCAAATGATGAAGATTGACAAAAGACCAAGAAAGGCATATTCAGTGCTTATGTCTTTTTTCTTAAGTGCCAGACAAAGCAACTGTCCTAGATAGTACCTTTTCTCCTACTAATTCACTTTTATAACCACTTAGTCACATTAATACTATGTAGTTTTTATTTATTTGTTGTTTAAAAAGCTATGCAAGACTCAGACCTTTTTATTTTAACTTTTCTCCTTTATCTAATTTGTAGCAAATATTTTCTTTTCAGGCACAGTTTACAATATGGGATAAACTATTGGAAAGATCTCGGAAAATGGTAAGTTTTTTTATACCTAAAAATTTTTTTTCTATGAAGAAGTTTTTATTGAAATTAAGCAACAATAACCAAAAGGGTGAGGGGAGAAACAAAGACAACAAAAGTAGTAAGTTGTCTTAATAGCCAAATCGGTGTTGATTATTTATCCCAGTGGTATTTTGGCAGGAATAGAGCTGTAATTTGGCAATTCTCTTTTGATTTTGTTAATAGCATGGAAATGATACTGTAGAACTTATAGAGAGGTCAGAATATTACTAAATAGTAGGAATTATTCTGAATATTGTGTTGGCATTAATTAGGTCTTTTGATAGTATTTTATAAATATAATGAACATATTTAAAGGATTAAGATTTGCCAGGTATATTTTAATGCTGCCTTGACTGTTGACAATAAATGTGTAAATGCCCAAAGACCACAGATGAATATGTGTGTGTTTTTAGCATTTTGATTTTACAAGTAGGAATGATTATCTTTTTTTTTTTTTTTTTTACCTCAAATAGCCCTATTCACTATTTCATGGACTAAGTTTTCTCTCTTACTTACATTATTTTGTAGCTTTTCCTCCTCACCCTCATTTCTTGTTACTCTACAAACACTACAGTCAAGTGGATAGGTCAGCATACTAAGTAGCAGATATCAAACATATTTTCATGGCAAACTATTCATGGCAGTTTTTCTGTTCCTTAAATAGAAATACGTAGTTGCATATTTGTACTAAATTAATGTGCTCTATTTGTGTAGCACTTATGTTATTTTTTCTTATACTGATGTTTTTATTTTATAGTTGAAAAATAAAATGACAAAATCGGCAAGCCTAGATATAATTTGTGTCAAATTATATAGTGTTGAATGGAATTGTACTTTGTTTGATAACTTATATTGCTATCTTAACCTTTAAATCTTTCTTGCTATTTAACTTTTTGTAATTATTACTGCAGGAAAAAGACAAAGGGTTATCATAGGACAGGGACTGTGATGGATTAAAACTGGTGGATAAAGGGTAAAACTGAAAGTTTTTGGAGAAGTAAAGCAATTCATGTTTTTACAGGTAACTGAAGATCAGAATAAACCAACAGAGGAAATTGCATCTACCTAATAACTTCCTAAAATTTAAATCTGTATAGTAAGTTAAAATAAAAGCTTTTAATATAATGCTTGTGTGTGCTTATAAAGACTATTTGCTCCATTAGATTTATAGTGAGCTTTACCTTTTCTGTTTTCTAACATATAAAACAATTTATGTTGCTCATTAAAATTTCATACAGAAACAACTCCCTCCTCTTCTTGATGAATATAATACTTGCTAAAGTTTTCTTTTTTGTACATATATAAGCATAGATGTAGAAATATAAATACTTGTTTTCATTTTTTGCTATTTTAAACAGTGGTGTAGTAACATTCTTGTGCAAAATGACAAGTGTTTGTAGATAGAAACTGATGTTAACTGACCATTTACTGTGTGTTGGGCATTGTCCTATGTCCTTCACATGGAGAGGGACATTTACTCCTCATACCAACCTGTGGAGAAGGTGTTTCCATTTCCTGAATGAGAACTGAAAGAGCAGAGTTTGGAAGTAGCAAAGTTGGAATTTGAACCCAGGCAATTTCACTCATATTTTCTTATGTTCTGTTCTACACTACCTCACATATAAGTAATGTTATAGGAATAGATTTCTGGTAGTGAAATTACTGATAGATGGTAGTTTCCAAAAGGTTTTGCCAAGGAATACTCCCAGTAACAGTGTCTAATGGCTTGTTTCCCCATATGCTGTGTAAACCTTGATTATTACTCATAAAATATTTTGTCAGAAAATTTCTTTCTGTTACAATCTGTATAGGCTTTCTGGAAATACTGCATGTGCTTCCTCTGAAGACCTTTTTTCATCCCCCCTTCCCACCCCTCCCCCCTCTTCCCATGGCATATATTTTTCCTAGAGTTCATTTATCTCCCTATTTCTAGGTAAACTTTGATTTTACTGGAGTTCATCTCTAAGATCATTCCTAAGAAAAAATATCTGAGAGGAGAGCCCTTGCATATCTAAGCTGGCTTTGTTTTGAAGTTATATTTGATCAGCTGTTTGATTAGATACAGGATTCCATATTGCCGTATCAGGACTGAAAGCAGCTCAGTTGTCTTCTAGCATCTGATATTACTAATAAGAAGTTTGATGACTATTTGATTCTTGTGCGTTTTTGTATAATCTGAAAGCTGTGACAACTCCCCTACCCGACCCTGGTACACTCTCGGCACTTCTAGGACCTAACTGTTTTGGGTGTTAGAAAACTCTAACATTCCATACCGAATCTCTTCAATCAATACTTGGTACTTGATAGGTCTGTTCAATTTTTGACATCTCTCTTCAGGTCTAGGAAATTAAAATTTTTACTTTATCCTTTCTCTTTCTTTTCTGTGTTCTTTGTTTCTCTAATGCCTTTTAGTTGGATTTGGATTTTCTGTATTGGTCCTCTTTATTTTTTGTTTTGTCATTTTTCTTGATTTATAATTAAAGTTATATCAAGCATATTTTAATTTCTGAAAGTTCTATCTTATTCAAGGCATCCCATTCATGTTTAACAAAGGTGTATATTCATGAAACTCTATAATGATACTAATAAGGTTGTTATTTGTTCTTTAATTCCAAAATTCTCTTTCCTCAGTGACAGGTTTTTTTTTTGTTGTTGTTGTTTTAAAGCTTAGCTTTCTATTTTCATGTTTCAGGCTTTTTTCAAATGCCTAGTGATCATTGGCTATCAATTGTAGTTTAAAAATGTGGGTGTAGAAAGGTTGAGTAGCTATTCTGTGATATGAGCCAGATTTGGCTACTTGAAGGTATCACAAAGGATGAATAGTGAAGGTAGCTGTTTTGATGGGGGGTTTGGAGATGCTGGAATGAAGAGGTCTTCAGTGTTGGGCTGCCTGTTTCTGTACTGACTATTATAGTTCTCCCTAGATAGTTATTTTGCTTATTTCATAAAAGATCTCTTCAATGTTTTGCCTGGAGGGCAATGTGTGGACTCAGGCCCTTCTGTATTTGGTGATGGGATATATGGTATGGAGGTTACCTAGTTTGTATATAGACCTTTAATCTCTCTTTTTAGTCCCTCTACCATCTCAGAACTGCTTTTGACCAGGGAAGGCCAATTACAGCCTACTGTGATGTATATTCTAGGTGATGACTTCTGTTTGTTCAGTTTGTCACGTCTTTCTCCATTTTTTAGAAACCTGTTGATATTTCTTGTTTGCTGCTCATTTATCTCTTGCATTCCCTTAGTTGTGAGTTGATACTTTTTAATACCTCTTGTTTTTTAAACATTGTGAAATATATTGAGCATATAGAAAAGTACTGGGGAAGCTGGGTGTAGGTGGCTCATGCCTGTAATCATTGCTATTCAGGAGGATCACAGTTCGAAGCCAGCCCAAGCAAATAGCTGGGAGACCCTATCTCAAAGTCACCCAATACAATAAAAAAGAGCGATGGAGTGGCTCAAGGTGTAGGCCTTGAGTTCAAATCCCAGTACCATAAACAACCAAAAACGAAAGGGAATTTTATGAACCCTGCTTGAGTGGATGTTTTTACTGATTTGGCTGTGCTTAATACTGTTGGCCGTCTACTGTTTGTTGCCTTTTGGATCTTAAAGTAAAAGAGTGAAACTTAATTTTCTACCTTTCTTTGAACTAGGGCTCAGACCAGTTATGTAAGTTCATCAGTTAGACATCCCTGTGTAAAAGCTGTAATTGAGCAATGAAGGCAGAGTGGTATACTGAACCCATTTTGTTGAAGGGAGTGGTGTCTGAGGCTTTCAAGGCAGCATTGGTATAGGTCCCCATCATGGTGCACGGTGTGGAGGTTGTGGTCAGCAGGTTTTCCCGTGCAGCTACTCTGGGGTTAGATAATAGGCACTTTTCAGAGCCCTGTAACTTTGAGTTTTAGGCCTAAGACTTACAAGCCATTTGTTTTTGGCTTAAACTAGCTACTGTAAATTCTGTTGTTCTCAACCAAGATTGTTGACATATAACCACTGTCCACAGGTAACTACTGTTAGCCGTTTTTCTTATTTACATCACATCTTTTTGTTTTTTAAATAAATTAAAAAGCTACACATCCATTGAAGGTCTTCCTCTGTCATTTCCTTTCTCCCAAGAAGCATTATCCTGTTTGTACCTATTTGTACTCTCATGGTTTTACAATTTTACTATAATATGTAAAATAGTCTCAGCTTTAAAACTAAAAATACTTGCTTACATGGTATATATCTTTTTGCAGTTTGCTTTCATTGCTCAACCATGTTTCATGCATGGCATGTTGAAACATGCCATGTAGTATTCCATTAGGTGATTAATCCTATCATTTATTAATTTTGATGACCACAAAGGGTCACAGTTGTCCCAGTTAACTTCCTATCAGTAGTGTGAGAGTTGCTTTTTCTCCACTCCCTCACAAACATCATTTTTAGGCATTCAAATATTTAACTGGTTGGACAAGCATAATACTATCACTTAATTTAATTTGTTTACTACTGAGTGTCTAGCACTGATAAGCATCTCTTCAAAGTGCATTGTCTAATAAGGTTTCCTCTTCTTGAGTTACTAGTTTACAACTTTTGCCCATTAAAAAATTAGAATTTTAATTATCTTTTATTAGTAAGAGTTGTTTACATATTCAGAAATTTAAACCTGTGTCACTCCAAATATCTTCTCTGGTCTGGCTTTTTTGTTTGTGCTGTCTTTAATTTTAATATTAGTCAAAAATACCATCCTTATCTCTGATTTATATTTAAGAAATTTAAGAAAGCTTTTCCTAGTTATTTTTAAGTCTTTTCATATTTAATTGTACAGTTTGAAGTTTATTTTTGCATGTAGAATGAAAGGGACCAATTTTGGGTTCCCCTATTTGAGAGGTATAGGCTCTGGACTACACAGTGAGACCCTGTCTCAAAAAAACTAGAAAAAGAAGTAAGTGTTTGAGGAAATAGATGTGTTTGAATAGACGATTTTTCTGGACCATTAGTTGCCTCTCTTCTCATAGTGGTTATGACACCCTGTTCCATATTAGGTTCCTTTAACTGCTTCATTGATCCATTTGTGTGTTCTTGTGCCACCATCACATAATTTTAATGACAGTAGCTTTAAAACTTATTTTGATTACTGGTATGGTGAGTCCTGTAGTGTTTTTCAAAATTGTGGTTATCACAGGATTGAGTTTTCTTAAGTATGTTTTATTTTGGTAGTATTTTGTTAGTGTTATGTATTCTTGCTTGGGATTTTTATAACTTGTTGATAATTCTTTTATAATTAAACAATGATTCTCTTTGTCTGTAATAATGATTTCCTACTTAATCTGGTTTCCATACTATAATTTTTTTCTTTTGTTTTACTTTAAATTTTACACCAATACCTAAAAACAAAACTTGTACATATTTTGAGAGTAATATGATATTTTAATAATATTTAATATATAATGTTTAAATCCAGTCAAACATATCTATCTTTTGAAACATCATTTCTTTTTTTCTAGTGTTTTGAGACAGGGTCTTGCTATATAGTACAGGCTGGTCTTCAACTCTTGATCCTCATGCCTCTCTCTGCCTCCTAAAGGCTGGGTTTTTAGCCATCTACAGCCATACCTGGCTGAGATCAACTTTTTTATGTTCTGTATTCTACTTGTAAGTGGGATTATGCTGTACTTGTCTTTCTGAGCCTTGCTTATTTCACTTTATACAATGATCACTAGTTGATGTTTGTTGATTTGAATATAGTGAACCATCCTTGTATCTTTGAGATGAATTTCACTTGACTATAGTGAATAATCTTCCTAAGGTGCTGTTGCATTTGATTTGCTAGTGATTTTTACATCTATATTCCTCAAGGATGTTGGTCTGTAGCTTTTTTTTGTTGTTGTAACCTTGACTGTTTTTTGTACCAGGGTAATGGAAAAAGTATGAAGAATTCCTGTTCTTTAATTTTTTGGGAATCATTTAAGAAGAATTGATAGTTCTTCTTTAAATGTTTGGTAGAACTCAGCATTGAAGCTTCTCCTGGGTTTTCTTTGATAGGAGTCTTTTTATTGTTGGCTCAATTTTTTTATTCATTATTGCTCTGTTTGGGTTTTTCATTACTTCATGGTATTACTTGTGGTAAAGTGTGTATATCAGTGAATTGATCTGTTTTTTCTCAGTTATCAAATTTGTTGGTGTATAGCAGTCCAGGCTAGACTTGACCTCATGATCCTCCTGCCTATGCCCCTAAGTGCTGGAATTAAAGGCATGTACCACAATACCCAACTTGATTTCAATATTTTAAAATTTGTTTAGATTTATTTTGTGGTCTATCATTCTTCCTTCCTTTCCTTTCCTTCAAACCCAGGCCACATACATGGTAGGCAAGTGCTTTACCACTGAGCTACATTTGCAGCCCTGGGTCTTGTTTTTTCACTCCATTCAGTTACTCTGTGTCTTTTAATTTGAGAATTTAATGCATTTATATTTAAGGTAATTGTTGATGGGTAAGTCTCACTTCAGCCTTTTGTGATTTGTTTTCTACTTTTATTTTCCTTCTGGTTTTTTTTCTTCTCTTGTAATCTTCCCTTTTGATTAAGTGATTTCCTCTAGTATTGCATTTTGAGTCTTCCTTGCTTATTATTTATAGTTTTTCTATTGTAGATTTTTGCTTTGTAGTTATCATGAGACATTAAAAAATTCCAGGGACTGGGGGAGTGGCTTAAATGGTAGAGTGCCTGTCCAGCAAGCATGAAGCTCTGAGTTCAAACTCCAGGACTACCACCACCACCATCAATAACAACAAAACAAAAAATTCCTGAGTATGAGTGCTGGGTTCACAGACATGCACCACCACCCCAAGCTTCTCTCCTTTCTTTTTTCTTTTTTGGGTGGTACTGTGGAAACTCAGGGTCTCGTGCTAGTTAGGCAGGCATTCTACCACTTGAGCCATACCCCAGTCCTTCTCCTTCATTTCTAATAGACAGCTCTGATGGTTCAGTATTGTTGGCTGGCAGTTTTGTTCCTTCAGAACTGTGAAAATTTCATCCCATTTTCTCCTGGCCTATAAAGTTTCTGCAAAGAAAACTGCTGTGAGGAGAATTGGGACATACTTGTGTGTTGTTTGTTTTCTCTTGCCGTCTTGAGAAATTTTTCTGTCTTTGGTCATTGAGAGCTTAATTATAATATGTTGTAGGGTAGACTTGATTGAGTTAAATTTGACAGGTGACTTTTGACCTTTCCTTATCTGGGTATTTGTATTTTTCTCTATGTTTTGGAAGTTTTATATTATTATTTCTTTGAGTTAACTTTTTAGCCTATTGGCATTCTCAAGTCCCTCTTGAACCCTAGTAACCCAAACATTTTAATTCGTTAATATAGGGTTGGTTTCTGACATCTTATTTTGACTGTTTGGTGAGATCCTGGTTCTTGATGTTCTGAAAATCTTGATGTTTGTTGGTGAGTACATCGGCACCTTGGAGGATTAGCTTTGTAATCTGGCACTTATTTTTAAGCAGCACTTATTTTTTCTGAGCTTATAGTCACTGCAATTTCAGCACTAGATTATGCTCTAAGTCCAGATTTGCATGAGTCCACTGTTGCTGTATTTTCACTGTTTTAGCATTTGATGGTGATCCACATCCATATTTGTTCTAAATCTTTAGTTGGTGTGTTGTTCAACATGAACTGAGGGAGTACTTAAAAAGGGTAGTCCATCCCTACAAAACTCTCCTTGGAGAATAGGCCTAGCTAGATACGTCATTCATAGCCACTTGTCTGTGGTTAGGTGTAGAAATGCCTGGTTCTGGGCAGAATTATTAAGGAAGGACTAGTTCTAGGCTCCTGTGTTATAGCTGTGGTTGTCAATGCTGCAATGCTGTGTCATACTCTGAACCCACAGCCTGTGGGGACCAGTGCAGCATTGGGGTAGAATAAAGGCCCGTGCTGCCATGAACTACCTATTGCTGAAGGAGACTTTGGCCCAAGACCAACCACAGGTTATGCTGGTGTTGTGGGAATCTCAAACTGGGATACGGACACTGAGGAAGGTTAGCAGGAAGCAACATTTTATTGTGTTGGCACAGACTCAGCAGACTCATGTTCAAAGGCTGAGTCCCAAGAACAAAAAGGTCTCCCCTTATATGCCTTTGCAAGCAGGTTACAGAAGCAAAAAGCAAAGCTCAATTCACATATGGCTGTATGTGACTTTATTGGCTATTCTATTCCCCCAGTGTTATGTGACCCTCTTTATGTTTTAGTTCTTTAAGTTTTATCTCTCTGCTTTGCCATCCCTTCCCCCCACCTCATTATCAGAACTCAGCCTCTGTGTTTCTTTTCTGGCCCTCCTCCCTGCTACATCATTCTACCCTTTGATGCTCGGACCCACCTAGGGCAAAGAGCAAAATCTTGATCTAGGGGTTTGTATTTTTATAGCATCATTATATGGGTGGCTGTTTTCCTTTTTATAGTGGCCTCTATAATAGTCCTGATAGACTGCAATACCAGAGGGAACAGGCAGAGTAATATTAAGCATGTTCCTAGGATAAGACCCATTGTCCCACTTTTTATGACAAATGTAGTCTGTATTGTTTTCTTTACTCTGGGACTTTTAGTATTACTTAATCAGCAACCTTGTTAACCTGAGAGTATACAAGCCAATGTAACATCTGACCTGTTGGTGAGTGCATGATACGAAGTATGGCTGTGTGGAGGTCCCAACAATGACTGTCTTACAACATTTAGTACATGGGAAAAACTTTGTAAGGACAACCCAAGGTAAGAGTCCAAGTATGTAGAGGAGAGCATGGGTGTGTCCCATGTTTGAGCTTCCTCTGTGTGTAGACTAGTCAGCTTTTGGAGTGACTAGGAGTGCGGCTGTCATCCTGTTGTTTGTGGTCCCATTGTCTCCTAGGAAGTGGAGTCCTGCCAAGGAAGGGCGCAGGTGTTCTAGAGGGTGATGTTGGATGGTAAGGTTGGGTCAGGGATGCACTCCCACTTGGGAGAGGCTGGCTTTACTCAGCTGTGGTGGATCCAGGGAGCAGTTTTTGTAACTTTAACTGTAGTGGGGATAGACAAGACAACAACAAAAGGGCCCCTCTAATGGGGTTTTAATGGTTGGACATTTTGTTTATTTATTTTTATCCAGACAGTATCCCTTTTTTATTTTTCAAGTGAGTAGAATTACCATGGCAACAACATACTATCAGTATATATGTCCAAGAAAACTCATTGTTTAAAAAAATTAAAACCACCATCTTTAAGTATCAAAGGACATGTTAGAGCCAGTGAAAGTATTCATTTTGTCTCTTAAGTAGAAGACCTTGTCTAAAAATCTGAGTTTGTGTCTGGAAGAACTTTAATACTAGATGGTCACACATGTATAAGAACCACTTCCTCAATCCTTTGGTTATTTTTGAGAGGTCTGGCATGAGTGACTCCATTTTAACTTTGATGACATTCCCCCCTTGTCTCCAAACTGTCTCTGAGCAGTCACTTCTGAATATTTGTCTCCCATCCAAGTACTAATCAGGCTCAACCCTGCTTAGCTTCCGAGATCAGATGAGCTAGGGCGCATTCAGGTTGGTATGGCCGTAGACTGAAGATCTTTCTTTTTTTTTTTTCTCCTCTCTCTTTTTTTTTTACTTCTTTTATTCATATGTGATTGGTCATTTTTTTTTCATTGTGAGGATTTGCTCATTCTTGGATTTTGTTTGTTTGTTTGGTTTTGGTCCCATGTTGGGGGTGGGGGAGATGACGAACAGATCAAGCAACAAAGAGGCTTAGAAGGAGTGTCCTTAGGCAACGGGCTTTTAGACAGGGACAATACAAAACAAAATCCAACAAAAGCAGATGAGTAACCTGGTTGACACATAAGCACTTATTAGAGTCATTTTTTTTTTTATGGACTTGATTGTAAATGCCCCAGAAGGATCAGAACTATAATGACAAAAACTTAAAAGAGCCATTGTTAAAATTTTGATGGACAATTTAGCAACTAACAGAACAGTATATCAGTACTACTAACTTTTTGTTACCGTGTTTATATAAATGTTGTATTTTCGAAGTTTTGATATACTTGAAAAACAAATATATTTAGTATAAGGAACCAGCAATAGCATTATAGCTCTATAGAGGTTATATATACATATTAGTTTAGTTGTTGTTCTTGAAGTAAAACCTTAGATTTTTATCAGTTGTAGGGGGAGAAGAACAGTGACCCCAAATAGCCCAGTAACAGACACAAATAGGGTACTGACTATATTAGAATCACACAAGACAGCAATTGTTTAACCATGAGGTGAGGTCATCTAGAAAATTTTACATAAACTGTTAGAAAAGAAGAGGCATGGAAGAGGCAGAGATACGGCCCAAAATCAGTACAGGGTTTATTGTTGAGGCAGGATCCCTGTGGAGAGGGACCCCAGCAAGAGAGCTAGAGCCCATTGCCACACACAGGCTTGGGCTAGATACAGGGGGCTAGTGGAAAAGTACTATGAAGTTCACTAAGGGATACCATTGCTGGGCAACCAAGAAAAGTGAGTTGTAGTTAGGTCACTGTCTGCTCAACTGTCCTTGGCACCCATCTGGGGAGATAAAGGTTACAATTGCCCTTTGTCAGTCTTTTGGGTTGGGTGGGGAGTTTCTAGTAAGCCATCTGCAAGGGGGTAAGGGATCTGGTCCTAACGTGGCTGTCCTCATTGTTAACCCCAACATAAACCAATTCTTACCCCAACATAAACCAATTCTTAAATGAATATGACTCAGTTACCTTAGTAGTTAAAACCCTGGCAAAATTCACCAGAGAACACAGGTAAATATTTATGGGGAATAAATGTGGAGTTAGGAAACCCAATGGCCAAGAATCATGGCTCAGATGTTGATAAGGGATCATATCCCAGATTGTTGACATTAACAGATGGCTCATGACATACAGCAGGATCCCATCAAACTGTAGTCAATGGAGCCCCCCTAAAATAACAGGCCCATCTGGCCATCCCAGGCCAAAAATTTCCTCCGCCTGCCATGTGGAAGGTGTAGAACTAACATCTCCATTCTGTTAACTCCAAAAAAACTGGAGGTCTTTACCTCCAGTGTGGTGCTTCTTTTTGAGTTTTTTTTTCCTTTGCTTTATATATATAAATCTGTCTCAACTCTCATATCAGTGCAGCAGTACTCCCTGTGCTCAGCTGTTTCCTGCTTCTCTGTGTTTTAATAGACTTGTTGTCTTGATAACTTTTTAGATTAACCTATAGCACCAAAAATTTTTGACAGCTCTCTTGACAAAACAAAAACCATTTTTAAGACAGCTTTTATAAATGTTATTAAGAACAATTTTTTAAATTTTATTATTTTTTAATTCATATGTGCATACATCGGGCCATTTCTCCCCCTACATCCCCCTCAACCTTCCTTGCTTCCAGACAGAACTTGTTCTGCCCTTTTCTCCAATTTTGTTGAAGAGTAGACATGAGCAATAATGAGGCAAAGCATTTTTGCTAGTTGAGATAAAGATAGTTATACAGAGGGATTCCTAGCATTGCTTGTATGCACAAGTGTATTGCAGGCTGAATTGATTCATTTCTACCTGACCTCTTCACTACTTCTTGGTCACCTTCCCATATTGATCTCTGTCGTTTTCAGGTTACTGTATTAGCTCCTCTGCAGTGGGGACATCAAACACTTTCAAGTTTTGGGTTTCCTGCCTATCACCATTCCTACTGTATGTGCTCTCCCACATACAAGTCCAAAACATTACTGCATTTGCCCTAGATGCATATGAGGGAGAACATACAATTTTTGACCTTCTGAGCCTGGCTAACCTCACTGTAGTTGATGTTCTCCAGTTCCATCCATTTACTTGCAAATGATAAGATTTCATTTTTCTTCATGGCTGAGTAAAATTCCATTGTGCATAAATACTACATTTTTAAAATCCATTCATCAGTAGTGGGGCATCTTGGCTGTTTCCATAACTTGGCTATTGTGAGTAGTGCTGCAGTAAACATGGGTATACAGGTATCTCTGGAGTAACCTGAGTCACATTCCTTTGGGTATATCCCTAGGAGTGGGAGTGCTGGATTATATGGCAGGTCTATGTTTAATTTTTTAAGAAGCCTCCATATTGTTTTCCAGAGTGTTTGCATTAGCTTGCATTCCCACTAGCAGTGTATGAGGGTTCCTTTTTCCCCACATCCTCGTCAACACCTGTTGGTGGTGGTGTTTTTGATGATAGCTATTCTAACAGGGGTGAGGTGGAATCTTAGTGTGGTTTTAATTTGCATTTCCTTTATGGCCAGAGAAGGTGAGCATTTTTTTCATGTGTTTTTTGGTCATTTGAATTTCTTCTTTTGAGAAAGTTCTGTTTAGTTCAGTTGCCCATTTCTTTATTGGTTCATTGATTTTGGGGGAGTTTAGTTTTTTGAGTTCCCTATATATTCTGGTTATCAGTCCTTTGATGTATAGCTGGCATATTTTCTCCCACTCTGGGTGGTCTCTTCAGTTTAGAGACCATTTCTTTTGTTGTGCAGAAGCTTTTTAATTTTATGTAGTCCCATTTGTCCATCCTTTCTTTTAGTTGCTGACTGCTGGGGTTCCATTGAGGAAGTCCTTGCCTATACCTGTTGCTTCCAGAGTATTCGTTCTTTCCTGTACTAATTTTGGAGTTTTGGGTCTGATGTTAAGGTTCTTGATCCATTTTGAGTTGATACTAGTACAGGGTGATAAACATGGATCTAGTTTCAGTTTTTGCAGGCAGATAACCAC